AAAAATCAATACAAGTCCATTACACAAACATCTTTATAGAAACTAGGTATCATAAAAATCAATACAAGTCCATTACACAAACATCTTTATAGAAACTAGATTTCATAAAAATCATTAAAAGTCCATTACACAAACATCTTTATAGAAACTAGATTTTATACAAATCAATACAAGTCCATTACACAAACATCTTTAGGGAAAATAGATTTTATAAAAATCAATACAAGTCCATTTCACAAACATCTTTATAGAAACTAGGTATCATAAAAATCAATACAAGTCCATTACACAAACCTCTTTATAGAAACTAGGTATCACAAAAATCAATACAAGTCCATTACACGGACATCTTTATAAAAACTAGATATCATAAAAATCAATACAAGTCCATTACACAATCCTCTTTATAGAAACTAGGTATCATAAAAATCAATACAAGTCCATTACAAAAACATCTTTATGGAGACTGGATTTCATAAAAATCATTAAAAGTCCATTACACAAACATCTTTATAGAAACTAGATTTTTATACAAATCAATACAAGTCCATTATACAAACATCTTTAGGAAAATAGATTTTATAAAAATTAATACAAATCCATTACACAAACATTTCTATAGAAACTAGGTATTATAAAAATCAATACAAGTCCATTACACAAACATCTTTGTAGAAACTAGGTATCAATACAAGTCCATAACACAAACATTTTTATAAAAACTAGGTATTATAAAAATCAAAACAATTCCATTACACGGACATCTCTATAAAAACTAGCTATGATAAAAATCAACACAAGTTCATTACACAAGCTTCTTTATAGAAACTAGGTATCATAAAAATCAATACAAGTCCATTACACAAACATCTTTATAGCAACTAGATATCATAAAAATCAATACAAGACCATTTCACAAACATCTTTATAGAAACTAGGTATCATAAAAATCAATACAAGTCCATAACACAAACATCTTTATAGAAACTAGATTTCATAAAAATCATTAAAAGTCCATTACACAAACATCTTTATAGAAACTAGAT